CAGAAGAATAGAGGATTTGAAAGGCAGACGTGCTCCAAGGTGCACTATCCTACTCACTGGCCGGCTTGTCTTGGACCTCGATTTTGGGAAAGCGCGGCTAAATTTCGGGGTTCCAGCCCCTACTAGCTAGAGGTCCACACAGCTAGGCCCGCTACGGAGCAAATGTAAAGCCAGCCGTAGAGTCGGCGGGCGGGGGAGGGGGCCGTAGGCCGACAACACCCTCCCATCAGCCAATTACATCTCGCTCTCGTGGGCGCGCCTCTGATGACGTTAGGGGTGAATAGCTGCCCGCCTCTCGCGTTTCCGGTTTCTACCAGCCACTTCCGGATCCCCTCTGCTTCGATTGTTTGGGCGCGAATTGCTCTGAGCGCGGCTCCCGGAATTCAAGAGGAGTGGTTGGTGAGTAGTGAAACGCTTAACCTGCCAGTGGGTCTAGGATGGGGAACGAGGTTTGTGGCCAACACGTTTGTGGCAACCTCCGCAGTTTGCATTTGAGGCGCGTGAATGCATTTTGCATTCAGAAGGGAGGGAAATCCGAACAGGTCTGTCTTTGGTGGAGCCATGTATTAAAATATTTGATTTGCGAGGAGGGAGCGAAGTCACTCTTGGTTCTTCCCTCCTTTCCCCGAATCATGCTTGTCCTCGTCGTATCTCTCCAGCAGACAGTCGTGGGGTGAAATGCAGCCTTAGAGATTAGTGTCTGGCTTTGAGGTTGCTGCGATCGGCAGCGTCTTTCCGGAGGCGTCACTTGTCAAGAGGTAATCATTGTGTGTTTGTGCTCACCTCTTGTGCCCATATAGAGGCCTAGTTTGAGGTACTTGGTTTTCAGTAAGCTAGTGAGGAAAACAAGACGACGTAGAATGCCTCCCTGTTTCCTACACGGTAAAGAATAAATTCTTTACTGCAGTATATGGTCCCGCCGCAAACCACCGCTCAAGTCATTTCCGTCCATTCCTGCCATACACGTTAAAAGTCTCGCCGAACTTTTCCTGTCCCTAAACACACCAGTTACTTTCAAGCTGCGTACCCTGCCATCAGGTTTTTGCTGTTTTCTCGAGAATTCTTCACGCCGCCCGCCCCCCAATCTGGTTCAGTGTTTCAAAATGTAATTCAAATATTTTTTTTCTCTGAATACTGTATATTCCGCCTCCCCCCCCCACACACCATTAGATAGTCATTCACTCATTTGTCTAACATTTGTCGTATTGTGTAAAATCGTATGTAGTAATTGTTTTCATATCTGTTTACCCACTACTATTAGACTGTGGTTTCCTGTGGATGTAAAACAAGGCAAAATTTATTCCTTTTTGTATGCTCTACAACTGGAGCAATAGTGGCAGAAAATTATGGCTTTTATTTATGTTCTTACTATGTCCCAAATATTGTTTTAGGCATCTCATGTATTCTGTACAAAATTTTAGCTTTACAAAAGCCTTCGATGTTGATATTTTTAACAACCCATTTTACCATTGGGGAAAGTGAGCAAATTTATGTGTCCAAGGCTATATAGCTAATTAAATGGCAGGGCCAGGATTGGGAACCTGGGCAGTTTATCTTCACCCCTGGCTCACTCTTGGCAGTGGTTCTCAACCCGGGGCGATTATACAGCAGGGAACATTGATAATGTCTGGAGACAGTTTCGCTTGTCACAACTGGAAAAGGTACTACTGATGTCTAGTGGGTAGAGGCCAGGAATGCTACTAAACATCCTATAGTACACAGGACAGCTCCCACAGCAAAGAATTAACCCATCCCAAATGTTAATAGTGATGAGGTTGAGAAACTTTTTGTATTACGGTTTATTGCTACAAGTAAGTATCAATGAAAACAGTGCTTCTTTTTTAATGTAAAGGACTATTAGATAGAGAAAAGGAGTTATTCTGAATTTTGTCATCGATATCCCCATCCGCACTCCTGTGCCTATTGTAGTTGGTTGAGAGAACAGCGGAATCTGTATACTTTGTGCTCTTGTTAAAATACACATAGTCCACAGAGAGTTTTGGCTCAAATCCTTATGAATGAATTTTCCACATGAATTTGCACAACATAGGTTCATGGTATAATCCTGAAAATTATTTCCTTCTTTCTTTGTTATAAGTAGAATGATAAATCCATTTGACTTCCAACAAGAAGACCTGAGGGATGTCTGTGAGATAACAAATATCCTAGTTAATCTGTGACCAGAGTAGGACAATTCAGCACTTTATATTTACATTTTCTTGGATTTAAACATAGAGATAATGAAATTGTATGGGGGAGTATAAAGTGCAAAAGCATTTTGAAAATGATTTTTTACAGCAATACAAAAGGAAGAAATTTCTAGGAATGAAATTGCATAGCCTTACTGTTATACGAGAACCATTATTATTTGTTATATAACAATGTTTAAATGGTTTAAAAAGCTACTTTGGAACATTTACAGGTAATCTTTTTAACAAAATATTATGCAAGTATTAAACATTTTTATGTGTCCTTTTTATCTTTACAGATTTTTTTTGAAGCACTGTTAAAATTGTTCTGTTTAGATCAAGATGTCTAGCAAAGCAAACGCTACCAAGAAAATGCCTCAACAGTTAAAAAGAAATCGAAAAAGAAAAATCGGTCATGAGGAAGTGGAGTTATCAGAAAAAGAGGTAATGAAAATATCTACTTTATCATCCAGAACTCTTTATTACAAATATTGTCTGTTCTATCTATAGGACTATGTGAAGAGTAAAAGTCAGTTTTACTGCAGATTATAGTAATTCATATTGTTATGTGGGAGCTGTTACAAGATTAAGTAAAAATTATTTACTTCAATTCTGAAGATATTGATCAGAAGAGTGGGTCATAGGACATTGCAAAGGTGTTTAAATGGAAAGAATAGGAATAAAGTATACAAATTCTATGGCATTCATATATTAAAAGATAAGAGAATCTGTCAGTTGGTAGAGGAGATTTTTATTAACATAGAGAAAAATTAGTTTGGTAGGAATTAACTTCTTCCTACCATGATTTTGCCCATCTCTTATAAAACAATAAATGAAATAACCACATTTTTTTTTTCCATGTTTTACTCTTATTTTGCAGGTAAAATATGGAACACTATTTCACTGGCAATATGAGTAATGATTTAAAACATTGTTTGATACCATGTGAAATTCTATTATACATTATCATAGCTGTCCAGGAATTATTTTAGTATATCCTTTGCCTGTGATAAATACATACCCTTTTTCTATACAAGTGGCAATATACTTTACTATCTAACCAGAAAGGTATATGACTACTCATCAATATAACATGATAGACCTATTGCAGAAGCAATATTTTTTTTTATTGATATTTAATTCTCTGTATATGTGCATGTGTTTTCCTCTCTAGGTTAGAAACACAGCAAAAAAAAATAATCAACTAAAGTGTCTGTCTTCTGAAGGTATTTCTTTTCTGTATCTTGTTTGATGTCTCTTTCACAAGCTTCCTGTATTTATGAAGAAATTATCAGCATCTTGTTTATGAGTTCTGCAAAAGCCAAAGATAGTAATAAACAACCGCAGTCTCATTTTTGCAAGAATAAGTAGTACTAGTTAGTCAGTTATTTTAGTCAACTGAAATTTTACTTAAAATCTTTAGCAAAATACTGTGTCAAGTTCTAAATTGATAGAAACCAGAGAATATCAAAGTATCCCACAGTCTGAATTATTATTGATCCATGATATATAGACATATCAAATGATTTCTCTTCAAAACAGATATTCTTCTGTTCTGTCACCACTGTATAGATTAGTTTGGAACCCCTACCTAATTTTATTTAAATTAGTTTGGAATATTCATCTTTACTTAAACATTACTTCTCCATAGAAGAATTCTCAACCTCTCACCCAGGACCAGGTTACATCCCCAGGTTTTATACATCCATCGTGCACAGCACTTTTGTTTTTGTAATTCTTTGCATTCTTGTAATTATAATTATTTAATTTCCTTTCTCTCCAAAACAAATCTTTATGCCAGCCAATAGCATATCTCCTTTGTTTATCCCTTGTTAGTAGAACAATTAACAAACCTACTAAACACTGACGATCTGTTTCTGTTTTGGTTAATCTCTTTTGTTCCGGTTTCCATGCAACATTTGGTAAAAAGAGTTTTCTAGTCTTAATGAAGCTTTTTAATTCAGGTCATTTCTGAGAACCAGACTTTTATGTTGAATCCTAATAATTGTAGCTTGGTTCTTCCTTTAAAATTGTCTTGAGTTTGTGTCTGCAATATCAGTTAATATTATTTTAGTTAGCCATATATAGCATATTTATACTTAACACCTGGCATGTTATGGATGTTCAATAAAAAGGATATTAAAGTTTATTCAGCTTTATAATATTTTTGGATCTCATAATTCCATTAGGTTTTTTTAGATAAATTTATGCTTCAATCACTTTTTAAGTAAAAACATACAAACTGCTAGATTGACCAGATTCTCTTCTTTCACTGGAGACAGGACAAACAAAGGATACTAGTCTAAAACAGGTTAAGATAGCATCCAGCAAGAGAAAAACCTGGCAGCCTCTTTCAAAGAGTAGCAGAGAGTATTTGCAAACTATGATGGAAACAGTAATAATGTGAGTATGAAATTTTTCTCTTTCATTTTTTTTTATTTCTACTTATGTGTTTCTATAGACAGTATCCTTTTAAAAGCTATTATCTATTTTATGGTGATAGGGTGTTTTTCTCTTTCAGAAGAAGATATATTTACTGTCTTTTAATGACATTAGCTTTAGCAAAAAAGTATATGTGGCCTGATTTTCTATCTAAAACTTTTAACCTATTCTGTCAATAGGGACACTTTAGGAAGAAGTTGAGTTCAAATTGACACTGTATATGGAAGTTACCATTCTAGACTGGATACAAAGAAAATAAGACATGATTCTTTCATATGAAGGAGGTGAAATGCATCAGAAGAGTCAGGCATATAAATTAATTACAACAATATAATATGATAAAAATAACTGTGATTATACTTCTGCTTAAAATGCATTTAATATCAAAGAAAAAGTGATTGATTCTGCCTGGTTAGTAATGAGAGACACTTGAGAGAAATCAGAAAAAGTAAACAGATTATATTAGTTGTGTTACATACTAATATTGATTCAATCCTTGTTTCTTTTCTAGAGCAATTTTGAGTAACAGTGGTAGAGAAAATGAACAAATTCAATATCAACTCAACTGCCTGAAGAAAAGGTAATATAGTTATGCAATACGGCATGGTTAAAACATATTTAGTAAAAGTCTAAGCTGTTCCTGTAGTGCCAGAACAGACATTTATAGAATATAAAAGTTTTTCATTTTGTTTTTTTTGTTGTTGTGCTTGTTGTTTTAAGAAGGGGAACAATTTGGGAATATATGTTCTACCCTAAACTGCTGCTGCATATGATTCTGAGTTAAGTTCAAGAGAATTTATAAAAAAGAATTTGAAAATGACAAAACACCTTCTTCCACAATTCACTTTTCTGTTATTGGGATTTGAAAGATATTTTGTCAACTTGAACTCCATTCAACGTCATTTTGAACAATATAAAATTAAGAGTTTGCCACTCTTACCTGATATTTATCCTATTGCTGTGTTTTTCCTTCACTTCATATTGTATTACATTATTTGAACAAGCAACAAGTATAATTTTCCAGGATATTACTGCTCTTCACCTTGTGGTAAGTAACAAATGGAGGTTTATTTTCATGTGTTCTTAAAATCATACCACTGCCAGTAATTTTTAGTGACTACTTTTTTCTAGTATTTACACAACTTTTTCTTTTCAAAGAAGAATGTTCTGCATCTCATTTACAGGTTTGCCTGGAAATGTTTGTCACCTACTATGTTATTCTTGGGAAGGCTGAAAACAAATTCTGCTTACTTTAAGTATAATTCTCAAGGATGATAGCAAAATAGAAAAGGTGGGGTGCGGGTGACAATTTGTGGAGAGAGATTAAAGAGATTAAAGAAAAGACTGCTAGCAGGCCTTTAAATGGTTTATAGGAATGATAGCCTAATATTGAAGGAGTGCACTAAAAAGCTAATAAATATGATAATATGTAATAAAAGTATAGCTGTGTATGGTCTTAATATAGGACATGTTTGCTGTGTAAATGAGGCTATTTATCACTCTGGGTCATCAGAAAATATTAAATTCTGTTCAACATATAAGCTGTCTCTTCATCATGTAGTAGCCATGGAGACATATTTCAAAGACTGCCTGTTTTCTCTTCATTTTTGCTTTACCACTCACTCTCTTGCATTCCCAAATTAGCAATACTCAAGATACTTTCCCTTTTAATAATATAGCAGAGTGCAAGCTTAGCAAATGATTCTCATCAAATCTATTAATAAATTTTTCTGTAGCAATATTTCTCAAAGTATATTCAGAACACTTATTTTAAAATATAACTTGAATAAAAGTGATATATCTAGTGAATTATATTTAGGTACATTAGCATATTGAAAGTCCTGCAGTAAATAAATCTATTTCATTTTGCTTAACCTAGCATCTCCTAAATTGGAGTTTACCACAGAAACTATTTTATATATTAGTTTTATCTCTGCTTCGGTCTGCATTTTGACTTTATTCTTTGAGAGATTGTCCTGACTAGATTAGAACTGTAGACATAGACAAGCTCCTTATTTATCTTTTTAGCCTTGTGAAGAAAGAGGAGAAACAAAATGCTTATCCTCTTAGCTTCATTTAGAAAATCCTGGGAGATGGACTCTTGATTGCCCCAGCTTAGGTAATGCACCTATCTGTGGACTGATTTTGTGGCAAGAGCTGTTATGATTGATATAGACTGGGTCATATGCCTACCCCTACGGTCAGACAAACAGTTGCTAATCAGACAAAATGATTAGCTACTATAGTTTCTAGGGGAACATATTTTGTGAAAGTTGTCCCATAGAAACAATGTTATAATGATTAGGTGTTATTGATATAGTAGGGTACATTCATGTTACACTTTTAGTTTAATTAGATTTTGCAAGAATCCTGAAAATCTAACCATATTTAGAACATTTATAACAGTGGATGACTCTTCCACAAATTGACTTAATACACTTTTGGAAGAAAATTCATAAATGGAAACCTTAAGTTGAGAAATCAAAAACTTATCCCTCTTGGGAAGACTTAGACAGACAGATTTTTATGCTTAAATGTGATGCCCTGGTGATGATTTTCTGGATAACTGAAGTTTATCCCAGTAGATTAATGAAAATTATGATTGGTGTTTATACTGCCTACTTTTTTCTTTATAAAAATTAGTATTTTGAATAAGAGCCCAGGAAGATAAGTCTTGGGTTCCACTATTGTTCAAATTAAGTAGTAAGACTTTTTAGAACCCCAAAATTCTCCTATTAGATAAAAGCAACCAAGTTTAGATTTTCCTCCTTGATTCTTCATATGGAATTCAAGAATCAAATCTAGGAAAGCTATATTGCTCTCTGCTAGAAGTGAGGGTAGTAAAAGTTCAGTGTCTATTGGTGAGCTTATCAACCCAAATTGAAGGAAGATTTTTTTAACTTTAATATTGAATATTCATTTTCATAGTACTTTAGAATAAACACCTTAATCTTAGTGTTTTATTTGCCTTAAAGTCAACGGGACTCAGTTTTCTTTAAAATCATTAAGTTAGAGTAACTGATATAGAAGTTCTCTTTTATTGGTTGCATTGTTTAAAACAACAGATTTAGAGTCCGGGTTCATAGTTAAGACTTAGAGAGTAGTACTCTCTCTAGAGAGTAGTACTGTAGTAGTACTCCAAAACCCAATAATTCAAGATAAATGATAGACTTATGTGCTGGAATATTTAACACATTTAGAAGACATAGTGAAATTTTGATTTTAAAAATGTATATAAATAATTGTTAAATGTGTAAAATAGAAATTTTTTCTTTTATGAAGCAGCCTAAGTTCCCCATCGTTTAAGATAAATCTTATGAAAGGTTAAATGATGATTTGCTAGAACTTTTCTGGGGAGACTTACTGCTAAGGTTAGCTACTGTTAATAAAAGAATATTATAACCCTTGGGACTATGAGGGCAAAATAAAGATGGCAACAGTATTTCAAAACAAAACAAAATACTAGTGGTACTCAAAAAATAAGCAAGTAATTATGTTTTTATTCTTTCCTTAAGATTGCTACAACTGTGTGAAACCCTAAAAGTCCCTCCCAAAAAGCTGAAAGATTTAACTAGTGTGTCAAGTCTACTGAAAATGGAAAGGGCAAAGCACAGAACTAATGAAGAAGGTCTGACATTATTGCAGGTATGAAATTTGAACAGGGAATCCGTAATTAAGGGGAAGGGGAAGAAACCAAAAAGTTTTCTACATTATCATGATATTCTGATGATAAATACTAGATCTTGAACCAGATTTTTCATTAAAATCTTTTATTTTTTTTTGTAATCAAGGCAAAAACTGCCTAAACTTTGGGCCTCTAAAATTAAAAGTATTTCTAATATATTAATGATTAAGTAGCAGTTTTATTTTTTTATCAGACTATGTAACCATCTTAGTATTTTTGGTTTTCAAATTGGAGAAACTCATCGTTAAATACTATAGAATTTCAAAACATTAGTTTTTCCATTCTTTATTGACAGGAACACAGTCATTGCCATTATTGTTGTTATACCTAACAATAAGGCTGTCTCAGGAGGGAAATGGGGCATCTTGCCTCTGGCGGGAAGAAAGAGGTGGTAGGAGGGCTTTCTTTGTTCTAGGCACTGTTCTGAGCACTTATAGTTATATCCCTTAATCCTCACAGCTTAAAGAGGTTTGTACTGTATTATCCTTATTTTACAAATGTGAAAAAGAGACTTACTGACATTTTTAGCTGAACCTTAGACAAACTGCTTAAAGTTATAATATGAACCTAGTCCATCTGACATTAGAACATAATTCCTAATCATTATCCTATAGAAGCTAATGGGAGATATCATTAGCTATCATGATTAACTGTATCTTTTTAATTAATGGACACTTGAACGATCAAGAAAGTGACCTTACGGGCTTATGAAATAATTAAAACAGATGGGACTATATATCCCTTAGCCATTTCAAAGTTCTTTGTAGATATGGTACTTAGGTCTTTGTTAGCAATTCAGTAAATACAAGGTGGCAGTAGTTTATGCAATGAATGTATCCCCAAGTAATTCTAATAATTCTAAATTCACAAATAATTTATTTCAGTTTGTCTGTATAATTGAGATAACATTGGAATGATTTGAGCAGTAAATCTACATATACTATATATTAATAGGATGATATTTTTTAGTTTGCCTCACTTCATAATGTGAGATGTTTATTTTTCATCCCAATGTTACTACTTTTCAAGGTTATATTTAGTACTGGCATTAGTTCTAATACTTAGTGAACAGTTGAATGACATTTTTTTTTTTCAGTTAATTGAAGTATAATTGACAAAATCGTAAGATATTTAAAGTGTGCATCATGGTGATTTGATAATATGTATGCATTGTGAAAAATTTCCCCCTTTAGTTAATTAATATATCCAACACCTCACATTATATATCTTTTGCGGGGAGGGTGGGGTAAGATCATTTAAGTCTTTTTTTAGCAAATTTCAATTACACAATACAGAGTTATCAGTTATAATTACCATGTTTTACATTAGATTGTCAGACCTTATCATCTTATAGCTGAAAGTTTATACCCTTTTGACATCCTCTTCCTATTTCCCCTACTTCCCAGCCCCTGGCAATCACTTTCCTACTCTGTTTCTATGAGTTCAACCTTTTGTAAGGTTATTTTTAAAGGTTTTAAAGTATAATAATGGTAAATGTTACCTTAACATTTAATATTTCCATAAATCACTTAAAAGTTCTCAGAGATAATAAATGATAGTGTGAGTTTTGTAATACTGGGAGGCATTTCTGTTTTACAGCTATAATTGGACCTCCATGTGCCAAAAGCCTAATTAACAGTTAAATGGAAAACACATTTTCTATGCTCGACACTTATAACACCAAATGTGTGGATTTTCCACACCAGCTAGGTGTTCTACAATTTAATTCAAATCTGACACTATCTGGAGTTAGCATAGACCCCGCAGATTAGAGACTGAGTCTCATAAGATTGCCTCCTACTTCAGATCTTAGTTGCAAGTCTGAGCGTCCTCTACATCTAACCGACCAAGTATAAATCAGAGGTTCCTGTGACCCGCTCCAAGGTTCAATAATTTGCTAGAACAACTCACAGAACGTAGGAAAGTATTTTACTATTACCTGTTTATTATAAAGGACTCAACTCAGGAACAGCCAAAAGGAAGAGATGCATAGGGCAAGGTATATGGGAAGGGGTTCAGAGTTTCCATGCCTCTTCTAGTGTAACATCCATTCAGCACCTTAATGTAATCACCAACCTGGAAGATCTCCAAACCCTGTTGTTGAGAGTTGTTTGATCTCCTTCTCAGAGATCAAAGAGTAGGACTGAAAGTTCCAAACCCCTAATCATGGCTTGCTCTGGCAACCCGCCTTCATCCCTGAGCCATTCATTATCATAAAGTCAGGTATAGTTGAAAGGGACTTATGAATAACAAAAGATGCTCCTCTTACGCAAATCACTCAGAAAATTACAAGGGTTTCAGAAACTGAAAGGAACTAGGACAAAAAAATGTTATAAGAAAATATGCTCTTATTCCCTCCATCACTCAGGAAGTTACAAGGATTTTAGAAGCTCTGTGCCTGGAACAGGAAATGAAGACCAAATATATATTTATCTCACAACAGTCTGTGATTTGCTTGACAGTCAGTCGCTCAATGGAAGTACTCTTGGCATCTTGGGCAAAGTAGTTCATTTCTATAAGAGAGTCTTCGAACTAGGAGTTTGTAGAATTTGTCTGTATCCATTAGTTTTCTCCTGTATGCCATACTTGGAACCACTGCTTTTTCCTACTGCAGCCTAGTTATTGCTGGTGGTGACTTTCTAAAACTTTTGTCAGCTATCAGTAACAGAAGCTGTGTTCAACAACATGTTTATAGAGCTCTCACTCAGTGATGGTGGGTGCTAGAGAAAAGGCAGTGGTGAACAGTCTCTGAGAGATTCTGAAAAAATGGTATAGGAACCCGTGAGACAAAAGTTTTTAATCTCTCCGGATCACATCATACCATAGAATTTCACAGAGTTAGCATAAGAAAATATAAGAAAAGGAACAGAAAATAACATTCCTATAGACAACAAAAGCATGCCAAAAATATGTATTCACAAAACAGATGAACACTAACCTGATTTCTCAAGTGAACTGAAAAAATGTCAGAAAAACAATGGATGGTATGGAAAATATCATAAATCAGTACTATAAATACCTTAGTCCTCAGGTTCTGAGAAATACAGTGTCAATAAATTCTTGGAAACTATGACTTTAAGCAAAATGATATATAACAAAGCCAATTTTACTGTGGGCTAATTGATATAAATAAGAGTTAAGTTCCTATAGCATATTTCTGATCACAAAAATATCACCAAAATTCTAAATAAAGACCCCAAACAATTCTAAATCATTGAAATAAATGTGAGCTGTACATATATTTAAGAATGATTGATAAAAACAAGTAAGATAATTATTTTCCAACTTATATATTTCAGTTCAGAGTCTCAGGTGACTTGATCCTATCCCAGCAGCTCAGAGCAAAAGGCAGGACCCTGGACAGGACACCCTTCCATCACCAGGTGTAGTCACACCCATCCACACTTAGTCTGGGATAATGTAGACACACAGATCACCTTACATATACATCTTTGAGATGTAGGAGAAAATTAGAGTACTCAGAAGACTCACACAGACATGGGGAGAACATACAAACTCTACACCGGAGGTAGCCCCAGTCAGGAATCGATATATTTTTTTTTTCATCAATGCTATAACGAAATGATATTTAATGAACTGATATTATTCAAGGACCTGCTGTACTACAAAATGAAGTTACAGAATTCAGGAAAGAATTAGTAATAAAAAGCCTTTCATATATTTTGACTAAATTAGGAGTACTAAAGCAAACACAAGAGACAGTGCTTACAATAAATAGTAAAATAAGGAGAAAATTTTAAAAGTCAAAAAGTTTTTTTTAAAGGTATTGAGAAAAAGTCACAAATACAAAAGTTTGGCAAAGAAGATACAACATGAATATGGTAGGAATACCTAAAGAAAATAACCAAAGCAATGGAAGAAAATTAATTTTTAAAAGTTAATAATGGAAAAATTTAGTCCTTATTATATTAATTCTTCATTCAGTGCAGTTTCTCATTCCCTTCTATATGGGTTGAATGGTGGCCCTTAAAAAGATATGTCTAAACCCTAAACCCTGGAATCTGTGAGTATGACCTTCTTGGGAAAGAGAATCTTCCCAGGTTGGATTTAACTTCAGTATAGCCAGGTAAAATCATCTTGGATTACTTTGGATGGGCCCTAAATCCAATGACAAGTGTCCTCAAGAGCTAGACGTATCCTTATAAAAGACACAGTAACATGAAAGAAAAGGCCACATGAAAACAAATGCAGAAATTGGAGTAATGGAGCTACAAAGAATGCTGACAGCCATCAGAAGCTGGAGGATGCAAGAAAGGATTCTCCCCTAGAGCCTTCAGAGGGAACACTGCCGTACTAATACTTTGATTTTGGACATGTGCTTTCCAGAACTGTAAGAGGATAAATTTCTGTTGTTTTAAGCCACCAAATTTGTAGTAATTTGTTATGGCACGCATGGAAGTTAATACGTGTGGTTTAAATTGTATTTAACAGTATTCTCTAAATCTAACAACCAATTAATAGGAAATTAGGGCTAAGGAATAGGTTAAAATGGTAGAGCCACTTTGGAAGACAGTTTGGAGGTTTCTTACAAAAATAAGTAAGTCTTTTGCCACACAATCCAGTGATCATACTCCTTGGTACTTACCCAAAGGAGTTAAAAATTTACGTCTACACAGAATACTGCACATGAATCTCTGTAGCAGCATTATTCACAATTGCCAAAACTTGGGAAAAAAACAAGTTGTGCTTAACTTGGAAAAAAGATGTTTTTAAGTAGGTGAATGGATAAACTGACACATCTAGACGAGAGAATATATTCAGCATTAAAAAGAAATGAGCAATCAAGACCTGAAAAGACATAGAGGAAACTTAAATGCATATTATTAAGTGAAATAAGCCAATCGGAGAAGGCCGCATACTGTATGATTGCAACTATATGACAGACTGGAAAAGACAGAACTATGGAGACAATAAAAAGATCAGTGATTGTCAGGGGTGTGTAGTGGGGGTAGAGATGAATAGGCAGAACATAGTGGGATTTTAGGCCATCAGCTTTTGGGCGCCCCGCTAGATTAACATGGGTCTTTCAGAATCTCTGATATTAGCAGTTTTGCTAAATTTTTGAGGAAACATTCTTATACATGGATGTATCTCCTTGTTCTGGGGATATTAAATTTCCTTATAATGCATTACTACATTGGTAAATTAGTTTCTAGGAAGTCTGTTTTTTGAAAGAAAAGTGAAAATATATTTGCCAGTTTCTTTAAGCAGTGTTTCAATATGAGGTGTTTTAAAAATATGTATATGTATATATTTTTGGGTTTCATTTAATAAAATATTTAATTTAAAACATTAACGTTCTCTTTCTGACTCAGGAAGAAATAGATAAAATAGTAGAGACCACAGAGTCAATGACTGGGAGTATTCAGGCCCTAAAAAACAAAATTCAAATTCTGACAAGTGAGGTGGAAGAAGAGGAGGAGAAGATAAAACAGGTAATTGTTTAATGATGTATTGCTAATTGTTTAATGATATATTGCTAGATTCTGACAAGTGAGGTGGAAGAAGAGGAGGAGAAAGTAAAACAGGTAATTGTTTAATGATGTATTGCTAAACAGGTAATTGTTTAATGATGTATTGCTAGATGTATTGCTAGGAGAAGGTAAAACAGGTAATTGTTTAATGATGTATTGTTTAATGATGTAATTTCTAATGCTTGCATTCTACCAAGACAACTTTTGAGTGTACGAAGATGAAAGAAATCAGTCTTTTGAAATAATCTATAGCTTCCTTTTTTTACTTTAGATGTTTCAAATAGATAGTGGAGTACTCTCTCTTCCAGAACTTTCTCAGAAGAGTCTCAAAGCACCCACACTTCAGGTAAGTACCAATTGACTATATTGACTATATCACCAGTTATGAATTGCATATATAAAACCATTCTATCCTGTTTCTTATTAAAAAATGGAATTTATGATATAAACTTAACATTATTTTTCTCACTTGACACTATAGTATGAACATCTTTCTTTGTCAGTTCATATTCCATTGTATGGGTGTACCATAATATAGTTTGTGAATTACTGATGGAAATAATGTGTGCAGTTACAAGTAGTGCTGAGTAAACCCTTGTATATATATTTTTACAGATTTGTGTGGTCATAGCTATAGGATAGATTTCTGGAAGTAAATTCTGACAGTTGCTTTTGTTTGTGCTTATAACGATGGCATGTAACTTCATAAAATAATATTATGTCTTATTTGTAGAAGGCTCTACACTGGTAATTTATCTTTTTTTCAAAGGACCCAAGTAGATATTGTAAATGTCTATAGTGGTAGAAAGTCTTTATATTTTCTCAAAAAGTAATTTGAAATTTTCCTGTCTATAATTCACCCGGGGTGAATAACATAGATTTGAAAAAAGAACAACGAGTTGATGGTTATTGAAGTTGAGTGATGGGTACATGAGATTTGTTATATCTTTCTCTCTAAGTAATATCATTTGATCCTTTTCACAGAAAGGGTTAAAAACATATAGACAAAGATGGTCAAAAGATACAAAATCCCAGTTGGAAAATAAGTCATGGAGTTGCAATGTAGAGCACAGTGATTATAGTTAATAATACTGTATTATATTTTTGAAAGTTGCTAAGTAAATTTTAAAAGTTCCCATCACAAGAAAATTTGTGATAATGTGTGGTAATGGATGTTAACTAAACTTATTGTGGTCATCATTTCACAGTATATACAAATATTGAATCATGTTACACACCTAAAACTAATGTCACATGCCAATTATATCTAAATAAAAAACATTTTTAAGTAATTATACTATTGTACCCACAGAAAGAAATTTTGGCTCAAATTCCAAACCAGAACCCTCTCCTGAAGGACTTGGATGTTCTCCATAATTCATCCCAGATGAAGAACATGTTAACTTTCATCGAGGAAGCCTATGAGAGACTGGATGCCTCTTAAAGAGTGATTTTTAGAGTATCCCATAGTAATTTATGAATTTATAAGTTTGTAAAACTGTTTACCTATGATGATATTGCAAAGGCTGAGGCTTCTTTAGGATTAATTATTTTCCAATATGCAGTTTAAAATTAGCCTCTAAATCTACCATTAGCATATAATGTAGTCCTGAAAACACTGTGTTTAGCAGTTGCCAAGCCTAGGAACTCACATTTATGTTGTTACTTTTCCATTTATTTGCCCGAAGCCATAAATAAGAACAGCCACAGTCTCATGATTTATAATGGCTGAATAGAGCTCATTTATTGGTTAGTGCAGAGGAAATTTGACACAATAACTTAATATATATAAAGTGTTTATAGGGCCTAGTTCATAAAACTAGTTCATAAATGTTTTCTATTGTTATAATTCCTTAGCTGATGACTTGCATTTTCTGTCTGGTCATTTGGAACTTGAGAAATCCCCAAACACCTTTATTTTTTTTTTTTACGTAATTCCCTAGACTTTGTGATATAATTAAGGTTTGCCAGGTATCTTTACCTTTGGAGGCAGCATGAACATTTTATTTCTTTGGTTGAGTTAGTGAATCGATGTTGAATACTTGTTTTCCCCTGCCATCAAAGCATACTTTTATTTCATAAAATTATTTAAAAGGGACATAAGCACATTTATTCCCTTAAAAGAAAATTCAAACAGAATCCTTTCTAGAACTTCTCTCATTGTGATGATGATATGTATATACATGTGAATTAACTGTCATTAAAATATATCAAAAATCATTTCTAACCAATTATAGTATGTTGTCTGGATTGCTTTTATCTATTTGTAAAATAAATACCCGCAATTATTTTTTTAATCTCCCCGGGAATATTTTTTCAGTTAATTTAGAAGGTGCCATAATTCTGTCATTATCCTCCAGGCAGACACCACCAGAAACATAGCTTTAGTTAAACAAATTGAGTTTAATGCTCATTACAGAGAGGGAGACCAGACGTCATGAGGGAACCCTAGGCAGCTCAGTAAAAGGGTCAAAAGCAATAGCCTCTTAGGAAATAATGGTCAAGAAGGACATTAATGGATTTTAGAGAGAAAGTCTTCAAGAAAGAAAACTTGTGAGGTAGCATGTAAAGAAAACATTTTTATATATTTTGGACTGCCTGCTACACACCAGACAAAGCAACTAAAAGTAAAAAGATTTTACAAAATGTCTTAAAACTTAAAAACTCTTCACTTGGAAACTCAAAGCTTCATGTTTTTAGAGTTGACTAATAGAACCCTAACTCACTGATTTTGGTCATCAATCATGGCATTTATAGTAGCTTTCGATGGGGAGAAAGGAGAGACATTAAAAATCTGCTGTTTTCCCTCAGAATATCTGTTTTAACATTATTGAACATGAACTGAAATTTTCACTTACCTTTGTTAGTGAGTGATAGTTCATCATGCATGAACTGGTCATACTACCCATTTGTAGAAATGAAAAGTATGTGATCTAATTTTGAGAGAGCAACAGTATCTTCTGGCATGTTGCCGGCAATTCAAAACATACACAATATTTTTTTTAAAGGCTAAATTTTGGTATACTCTTCATGAATAACAGGTAATTACAGAGCCAAATAAAATTAAAATTCAACTGCACATGGTCCTAGTAATTCAAATGGCCATCTTCTCTTGTAGTATCCACACCCATCTAAGTCCTCATATGCATAGGCCATTGCTAACTATGATACAACTCCTCTCCAGTAAGGAGAAGATAAATGCCAATGCCAGAAACTAAATTCTGAAAGTACACATTTTGGAATAGAGGATATATAGTGTAAAAATGTAGACCGTGAAAAAAATAGCATTTCAGAAAAAATGCAGAAAAATATTCAATAAATGGTCTTGAGAAAACTAACCACACCAGAGATGGTGGCAGAGAGGCAGCAGTTAATATTCCTACTTTATACCAAAACATTCCAAAGAAAGTTAAATATAAAATAGAAACTTAAAATATCAGTAACAAATACCAAGAGGAAAGTGGTCAATTCTCAAACATACATAAATGGTCAAAAAAGTATTGGAAGATGATCAATCTTATAATAATCACTTAAATGCAAATCAAAATGTTTTCACCTATCAGATTGAAAAAAAGATTGGAAAAGGCTAAAGGGGGAAGTTGTTTAATACAGGAAAATGGGTCCCCAATAATCCTGCCAAAGGAAGGAAGGTAACTGGTATAACTTGTATGTGTGGTGGAGTTTGAGGAGAGGCAGCCTGTACAGATACGTTGCAGAACCTTAGTATACAGTCGGTCATTTATAATTCGTACTTTATAAGTCCCTCCATTTTCCCCAACTCTCAGGGATATGTTTAACAAACAGGTTTTATTTAAATATGACACACCTGCACTGGAACCTAAAATTAAGGGATTTACTTTCTTTTATTTGGTTGGATAGAATTTCCAGGTATTGTCTGTTTATCAAAAATAAATGCAGGTGCACCTTCAAAATTAGCATTTGAATCATTCAGGTTGGCTTAGTTTCCAAACATAAGTCTTCTAAATCCTCTCATGTTTCATTCATTATTAAGAAATATTCAGCTTTGAGGAAAAGAGAGAGGAAAGAAAGCAAACTCAGAGAGAAATTTGAATTTCCTACTTGGACTTTATCACGTCTAAAGTGACTGAGCCCTTTTTATGTTATAACCAGCTTTTCTTGTTTAAAGTTGCTGCTGTTGAATGTAGTTCTTCACTACTAAATCACTATGGAACCACTTTCTCTTGGCTTAGATATTCTCACTCCTCATTAAAGTAACCTCTGCTGTTAATCAAGACTGAAATTGCTGTAGCAGTCATTTCTAAAGATTGGTTATAGTTGTTAAAATTGGGCAAAGAGGAAAAGGAAGAAGAGATGTTTTTCAGAGTCAGTGAAACTAGATTACTTTTTAAAATTGAAATTGTTAATTTTTTTAACTAATAGAAACAAATGTGTGTTTGCCAATTTCGCCCTCTTTTATACCTCCAAGGAGGTCCTTAAAATTAAAGTTGGTTTTCAAGTGGGACAACAGGGCTATATAACAATAACAATGATAAAAATGGCTGACATTTAATGATGTGTGCTATATGCCAGGCACTATTCTAAGCCCGTTATGTGTATGCATATATTTATGCCAGTGTTTAATTCCAATAACAGTATGGGCCTTAAACCCCATAACAGTCACTATTATCCCCATCCTGCCGGTGAAGAACCTGAGGCATAGAGTCTAAATAACTGTCTTGAGATCACTCAAATAGTAAGTGATAGAACTTGGAAGCAAAAACAATTGTAATTTTGACCTCTTAGCTGATGAGCTACAAACAGAAGAGGCTACTGAAGCTGATGAGAAATTCTATAACAACAATGTACAAATCGATCTATTTTTCTAGGTATAATGATATTATGAATTCATTCACTTGGGTTTATAGAATAAAATCTCTAAATTTATATTAGTAACCTCTTTTTCTCCTTTTTCTTTTTCGTTTTAATTTTAGAGTTAGAAGTTCAGTTTAGCTTGATGGACATATTTCAAATTTAATTATCTTCAACAATACGGTTTCCCTGGAAAAATAATATGCTTTGCTTTATTGGTTACTAGGCAAAAAACAACTATTTTAATTAGTCCTGATGTTTTAGAGAGCAAAAAACTTTGAAAAAAGAATAGAAGTTTCTGTTTTGGATGTCCTTGGGAACAAGATGTAGTCTAAATCTGGAAAGACATTTATATGTCTCTCAGGTCCATAAATAACTTGACCCTAACTTTTGAAGTTTTTTCTGATATTGTCTAAAATAGATTTTGTTCTACAAATAATAGCTTATGTTCACTTTTTTAATTGATTTTCCTCAGTACTTAGAAAAGACTAGATTTACATAAGATCCTTAAGGACATACATAGGTATATGATGCCTTCAGTAACATCTTTAAAAAAAAAAAAAAATTATGAATGTACCAGGATCAAGAACACTCTTATTTTGACATCCAGTAATTGTCATCTAATACAATTTCTCCAGTAACTTTCTATTATCAATTATCTTGCATTGCTTAAACGAGCATCTTCAAGACTGCCCTAACCTACTCCTTTTGCTCCTGACTTTGTGAGAGGTTAACAGTGGTAAACAGTATCCTCCCATGTGACTGCATTCAAAACGAAGCACTTGCCATTGCCTTCTGAGACATTTACAGTTTATTATCTGAAAGTTCATTGCATTGTGTGCTGAGATGCCCATATAAATATTTGTTTGGTGCTTAAATTGCAGCCATTTGAGAGAGGAGTAAACTGAATGATTTTTCACTTAAAAGAATGGGGTAAAAGAATTAAAATTTTCAAAAATACTCTCAATTTCACAAGCATCCTCTTTAGAGATGACTCTATTTCAGCCTTGGAAGTTTAGGGCAGCAAAATCATTTTCTTCAGAATAAATAAAAATATAAAAGTGGTCAGTATCTGTATTATTTTATAGTACCCTGTTTGCCTGGGTCTCATTCCTTTTAATCTTTTTCCATGAGATCCTGACAGATAGGTTGTGTCTAGAAAATGTCCATCTCTAAATCAAGATCAATATTTACTGGGTTTATACCACAAGACTAAATGTAATAGAAAAAAACAGACGGAGTGAAAATACTTGCACTGTATGTGTAATAAATTTAACCTGACATCATAAACTCCTCCCTTTCTACAGGTGCAGACACTTTTTTTTTTCATCCCTCCTCTTTCCACTAAGGATTAATTAGGGAAGTAGGCTTGAAGAATAAACTCACCATTTATAGAGAAAGCTGCTGCACTAACACAGAGTGAAAGACCTCAGTTTCAGGCAAAGTCAACACCAGGTAAGCATTTATTCATTAAGATAACAAATTTCAAATCATTGATTATAATGACAAGAAGAAATAGAAAAAATAGAGGGATAAAATTCAACGTTATATAGTAAGAATAAATTTAAATAGAGGAAAAGATATTTCTTTTTTTTTGGTGTTTTTGTTTGTTTAACTTAAATAATGATATAGGGAAAATAAGTATTATGAAATATATTTTTGTATTATAATATGGGTACAACTAGGGAAACAAATAAGAGAAATCTTTCTAAGCAAAAAATCTATCATCTGAAAAATATTTACTGGCATCGGATCGCAATGCTTTAAAAAAAAACAAAAAATTTCTTTCCTCATTAACAAACGTCCACAATTATATTGCAAATAATGTATTACACTATAAAAACAGAGATATTTATTTATAAGAATTAAAAGTCTACCAAGAGGTTATCATGCTTTCATTGTCTAGTTAATTTTAAAATATTTTAGGTGCTTACTGTGTGCTGATGGACACTTGCTCCAAAGAAATTTCAGTTTCTAAAAGTTATATGAGCATGATAATTTTTCTCGACAAAGACTTCAGTTAGTGAGTCTGTTGTTAATAACAATTTGGCTAGAGGATCAACAAAACTTTATCGTCCAATTCTAGAACACATTAATTGTGGGGAATTTATAATTGAGTGGTAAAGATATGGTAATCTAATCTTGTAGCCTTCAGAGTTAATAGTAGTCATTATGACTTTCTAATATAATTCAAAAATATGTGAAAAATATTTTCTGCATCCAAGAATTCCTGCATCCTGTTTGTGGCCTTTAAAGATGATCTTTGTATTTAATAAAAAAGAAATATCCTTATGAAATTCATCACTGTTTACTGAAAGGATATTTTCCAATGTTCATTAATTATAGTATCCACTCTTTATGAATCCCTGGGAGAAATGTCTCTGAATTTAATGTCATAGAAATTTTCACCCTGAGTAATTTGTGAGTTGCAAGAGCTGCTTAATCTAGAAAGATATATTGAAGCCAGTTCCAGTAGGATTTTGAATATTTAGAAGTTAGAAAACTGGCCTTTATTTAGAGATGGTATAAGTGAAGAGTCAAGCAAATACTATGGTAAAGAGTGTAAGAGTAATTCTGTGGGCACACTGAATCGTGTAACTATGTTTGTTTCTCTTTGTATTAACTGCTAGAAAGCTTAAAGTAAAAAAAAAAGAGCTCTCACTTCCTTTAACTATGGTCGATTCTCATTGTTCATAGACCTTATATTCAATAACTTCTCAGAGAACACTGCCTTAGCAAATTCTGAACCATTGCTCCTATGGAAAATATACAGTTAGATTCCTACAAGCCTCTGGTCACATTTTTATTAGCAGATCAACACACAACCTTGTTTTATGTGTATGTATTTCTATTTAAAGAAACATTATTTAATATATATCATTGATTTATTATCACTGAACTCACAGTCAAGAACATTATTATAACTCATGCCTGAAGGAAGCTTATCTAATGTATACATTTTCTCTGTAAGGCATATTACAGCCGTTTTGCACTGAGGAACACTAACTAGCACTTAGGCACTATGCTTGGGGGCCATTTTTATCAGTGAAATTATCAACAAAAATCAAAAACCGCAAAAAAAGTGGCACTAATAGACTGCATAAAGAACTTGTTTATAGTACTTGAGTTGAAACAAGAAGTCGGCTTTTTCAACTTAAGCTGAAACGTTGGTGTTGGGAGACTCAAATTTTTCACTGCTCTATGTGTGTCCACAAATGACTGCGAAAGCACTGCTAGTATTAATTTTAGGGGCTACAAATATATTTTAGCAAATAGGTGAATTTATAAATGTGGAATCCATGAATAAAGAGGATCAACTCTACATGTAGGACTGTATTCCATACGCTTTGCCTGTGGAGCTCACTCTTGACTCCATATTACTTTTGTACCTTTATTTTTACCCATGCTTGAATTTTAATTTAAACTTAATTTATCTTGATATATTTTTGTCTGTGTTTAGAAGTGATTTTCAATCCTTTGGGGAACAAACTGGCAATAAATAAGTAAATCATCAAGTACTTAGAATTCCTACTCTGCACTATACACTTTACTATGATTAGAACATAAAAGGATCTCTAGACATCAAATCTAATAAGAGGCACACGATCAGCTTCCCTTTGAAATAATTTAATTTCATTTTCTCGCAAAAGACTGAATTCGAATAAATGAATGTGTTTAACATGAGAATCTCCTAAGAAGTTAAAATTTTATTTAGAGATAACATGAGTGAGTGAAAAGTCAAGCAGATTCAAGGGTGAAGAGTCGATGGCTACACTTCTTTCTTTGTTCAACTTGAACTCTGGAAACTTGATCTTTTCAAAGTTTCTAACGTGACCCAGACTGAGTTCGAGGGTCCAGAAGCCTGATTTTCTGATGTTGCCGTGGCCCTTAGTTCTCTTCTGACTCCTGTCGAGAATACAACACCTTAGGTGTGCCACTCAGTGAACTGGAACCCACACCGCCTGATCATAAGAAACATGCCTCTTAGAAGTTCAAACTCATGTAAACTTTATGATAGGGTTTAAAGTGGATTTTAAGTAATCACAATCGAACGCTCTGAGTATCTTATAGCTACAGGGATGCCACATAGGGAAATCAAGTAGCTTTACTTAAGATAGGATTTTAAGTAAATCACAATCGAACGCTCTGAGTATCTTATAGCTACAGGGATGCCACATAGGGAAATCAAGTAGCTTTCTCTATTTGGATAATGTATTGTAAAGGAATAATCCACCACAGTCCCGGAAGCACTAGCATCTCGTGTCTAGCTGAGTTATCTTTGCCATCTAGTACCTCGCTTCAAAGAGTAGGTAGATAGGCTCTACTACATTGAATATGGGATAATATGTTTTTTTTCTTTAATTTAGTCAACACATGATTGGAATGTTGGGAAAAAAAATTTTTTCTTGGGAACAGAAAGCAGGGGAGATAGAGCCCCCAAATTTAGAAAATATAATTGCGTCAGAATGCATGAAGTTGCATAAGTTATATTTAGGCCTGTTTTTTGTTCCTTAATTTTATTTGACTGAAACGAGCCTCGGCCTTTGCCCGCATCTGAGTCTTCATCTTCGATCTAGGTGTTTCTCCCCAAGTTGTTCCTCATAACCACCCAACACCTGACCCACTCAAGTCTTTCTCTCATCGTTGTCCTAGATTGTGAAAAAGTTTCCCTCCTTAACCCTAAGACTCTTACTCTGAGTTTCGTATCATCCATTCAACAACTACTTAGTATGCTCCTTCCTATGTGCCAGTCCCTGTGGTAGGTGCTGCGGATACAGTGGAGCATAAGGCAGACGTGGGCCCTTCCTTTATGCAGCTCACAGTCTAGTTGAGACAGACATAAATCAAAGAGAACACGAATAAATGCAAAATTACAACTGCTATCATGTCCTCAAGGAAGAGTTTAGAGTACAATGAATGTGTATAATAGCAAGACATAATCCAGTCTAGACACTCACATCTTTCTAGGATTAGGTTTATATGTTCTTATTTACCCATCCCAGTGCCTCCCTGTCTTCCTTCTTCCCTCTTCAGAGGGAGCAATGGCATTCAGAATTGTACCCAGTGAAAACAAGACTTCAGTGATGTTCCTAGATAGATTCAGATATTAACAGGCAAAGGTAAATGTATAACTTCAAGTTTTTAATTAGGTGTAGAATTACAGAGAAGATGTTGGTGCTAAACTGTTTTTCCAAATTACTGACACTGGAAAAACTGTTGAAGAGTCACTTTCCTGAATCACTCAAGGTAAAGAGTTTTATTTATTTATTTTATTTCTTTATTTTATTGATTTGTGAAATAATGTGGTTGTTGCCCAAATTTTTCTGATGATAAGGCTCTCTTGGAATACTTGTTAAACACACAGCTTCCCAGTCCCCACCTGCTGCAGACTGATTCAACGGGCTGTGGCTATGGCACATAGGTATATTTTTGACAATTACTCTACATGGCTCCTAGGAAAATTTGGGTAATGCTGGTCTAGATTATTTCTAGGGTAAATTCAGAATTGTACCTAGTGAAAACAAGACTTCAGTGATGTGCCTAGATAGATTCAGATATTGACAGGCAAAGGTAGATGTATAACTTCAAGTTTTTAATTAGGTATAGAATTACGGAGAAGATGTTGGTGCTAAACTGTGTTTCCAAATTACTGACACTGGAAAAACTGCTGAAGAGTCACTTTCCTGAATCACTCAAGGTAAAGAGTTTTATTTCTTTATTTTATTTATTTTATTGATTTGTGAAATAATGTGGCTGTTACCCACATTTTTCTGATGATAATTTTTCTGATGAGCAGGACCCAACAGTCCTGCTCTCAGTCGCCAACTGTACAAGACACTCAGCGCTGAAAGTCCTGGGGCTACGAACAAGGGATCCTTTGAAAGTACCCACCCTTTACTTATTAAACACACAGCTTCCCAGTCCCCACCTGCTAAAGACTGATTCAATGGATTGTGGATATGGCCCACATAGTTATATTTTTGACAATCGTTCTACATGACTCCTAGGAAAATTTGGGTAATGCTGGTCTAGATTATTTCTAGGGTAAATTTGAGTTCTAATTTTTTTTTAATGACAGAAGGGTGGCATTGCTGGTTAAAAACAAACAAACAAACAAAAAGCAAAAAGCAAAAAACATAACCTAGGTACACAATGAAAATGAAATTTAAAGGTTGTTATAAATTTTTTCTGTTTCTTTCAATATCTTTTTTTGAAATTTTTTCAACAGCTTTGTTGATTATCAAGCTTATATTGGTTGAAGTCTTCTAAAAGTCTAAGAGTGCTTGTGGATAACTCAGAGTTGCTGTGGAAGATGACATTAACTAAAGATTATAACTAAAAATAAGATCAGAAATATTTTAAGCACTTGGAGAAGAAAAAGTGCAGAATGCAAGAAAATTACATTTGAGGTCTGAGTTTCTCGAGCAAAGAGATAACCCAACAGCAATGGTTTTCAAATGTGAGAAGCATGCTAATAACCTAGAAGATATATAATGAAATCATAGTTTCTGAAGATAGAGACCAGGGACCTGTATTTTTAACAAACATCTTGGATAATCCTTATTTACACTAAAATTGACCAAAATTGACCTAGAGAATGTCCAAGTGCACTGTACTGGGCTGATCAAATCTAGTCATCTTGCCTTACTGATTGTGCTTAAACTATATGTGGTGGGGAAATTTGGAGTAATAATTTGGGATTGTACAGCTAAAAAAGTACCAAATGGACAATCTGACCCAAATTTTCTCATTTTGAATGCTGACACTGAGGTAAATAAGTGGAATGAGTCGATATTGCAATAACTTTGTACAGTGACAGATGGTTACTAGACTTCTCGTGATCATTTTGTAAGATATATAAATGTTAAATCACTATTTTATACACCTGAAGCTAATGCAATTTTGTATGTCAACTATACTTTAATTAAAAAGTTTTACATACCAAAAATAAAAATAAATAGAATGAGATGATCAGCTACATTTTTTTTTAACATGTTTGACTAACTCTTGTGCCAAAGAGAACAAAAAAGTTTTGGTGACCTTCTCAGGGTCATGAAAGATGTTATAATTATCAAGACAAATGATGGGGTCTTAAGTTATTATATTTGCACTGTATTTAGCATACAAAGAATTTAAATATTTTGTATTTTCAACCACTTTGTAAGATGTTTATTAACTCATTTTATAAATGAATAAATTAATGTTCAAAGAAGGTAGTACAGCAAATAAAGACACAGAGTCAAATCTCAGTTCCTTTAATTTCATATTTGTTGCTTTTTTCACAGCAACTTAGCTACCAGATGGGTAGATGTAAATGTTGAACTTTTTTTCTTTTTTTTACCCCTCCTACAGTGCTTGGCACCCGGCTTTGCCCATGATAATTCTCAATAAACTGTTATTGATTGGTCACCAGGAGCTTTATACAATAATTACTTATTTCTTATCTGTTTAAATCTTATTTTTAAAAGCTTCTGAATTCAGATTAGTTGACTAGATCTGAACAGAATGTACAGATTTTTTTAATTTTCACACTATCTCATTTGGAGTCATCAAAACTAATATTAATATCTTCGTAACATCAATACTGTTGAATAGACAGATATTTATATTATAATTTTACAGATGATGTTACTGTCAATTCTCCATCTCTAAATGCTAGAGTTCAGATTTAAATCCAGATTATCAGATTCCAAACTGACTGTTCTTTTGAAATGTTTGCCTCTCATAGCACCATTTGAAGAAAGAACTTAAAAATGAGACATGTAGGCACAAATTGAGGTCTTCCTTATATAATTATCTCTTTAATAGCTGTTTAGCTTGGTACTCCCAATTTCTCATTTTCTATACATTGAGTCTCTTTATCCCTGGATCCATTTATCCTTCTTCAGTTATTGCATCATTATGTGATGCCTATCTTTAGTTCTTTGTTCATACTTTGAAAATACTCTTTTGGTTATACTATGTCCTTTAGAGTAAAAAAAGATAAAGAAAATATAGTTTTATTGTTCACCCATTCTTTGGAGTTATGGCTATGCATTTTATAATCTCACTTTAGGGTTAAAGTAATTAAATATCTCTCCAAATTTCCTTCACAAACTCTAACTGATCATTCCTCTAGCCTCTTTAATTTCCCCTAGCTACTTCCCATCTCCTCTCAACACTCACCCTTTGAATGGACAGCTATTGGAAAGGTTTGTTTATTTTCAGCCAATGCCAAATCTTTCAATTGGTTCCAAATCTTTGACAAACAAGTTATGTTTTTTTTTTTTCCTTTCAGAATCTGAATATTGAAAGAGTTTTTTCCTTCTAAACATACCAATCATATTTAAGCTCCATTATTTAATAAGGATGTGTGATTTCCTGGTGTAAAACCACTTATTTATTACTAATGCAATTTTGTATTTATTACTCCATCGTAAATGTAAGATAAGCAGCCTCAGAATTTAATGATTAACAGAACAAGTCAGTTAAACAAGTACCAACAGAACAAGCCATGACTCTTACAGTTTACTTTAGTTCTTGAATTTTCACTAAGTGTAATCCATGTTACACACTGTTATCAGCCAGACTAAACTGGGAAAGATACGTTCTATGAGAGGATTTGAGTGAGGTCCCAGATTGGGTATAATAGAAGAGAGCTGGGAAATGTTCTAGGCATTGAGGTGAGCTGATTTGCATTACGATAGTGATAAAGGAGGTAAAATGTATGTTCCAATGTTCTCATAAAGTGTTTTCATTGAAGTTTAACACATACTAGAAAGTGCACATAACATACTTACACAGTTTAATGAATTTTCACAAAGTAAATATCTGTGTAATCTCCACTCCAATTAAGAAAGAACATTACTTCAGAGGCTACTCATCCCTGCACCACCACCAATCAATAACTTCCCTGCTCCCCAAAAGTAACCACTATCCTGACTTCTAAAGCTAGCTATAATTTAGTTTTACATGTTCTTGAATATAATATTAACTAGATCACACAATAAATATCTTTTTGTATGTAACTTCTTTTGCTCAACATTATGTTGCTGTTTTGTAATCCAGAATATGAATATGCTACAATTTGTTTATTTTTTCCACCTTGGATAGACATTTAGATTGTTTCCAGTTTTTATCTATTATGAAAATGCAGCTATGAACGTTGCCTGGAGCTCATTACCGCCACAACTTTCTCTTCTCTAGAAGCACATACATAACATATGAGAGTTGCTTTTTAGGACAGACATTTTTAATTCTTAGAAGAGAAAAAAATATGAAGGGCTACAGAACAGAATTCTAATATTACTTCAGTATTGTTTAGCCAAAAAGCATTTGATCAGCTTTGTCAGGCTCCATGGATACCATAGTGAATGAGACATAATTACAATCCTCAGGTAATATGTATAAAGCCTTGCTCCATCAAATTTGAAATACAGAAATTCAGGGAGGTGTTTTTGGCCTTTTGGGGGAGGCCTTTTTTGAGGGCCAAACATCAAGTGATGTTTAACTGTAATTCAGTATTAAACGAGTAGTTGCATTTCACAGGTTATTTTCAGATAGCATAATAAACTTCAAAAGCAGCTGAGCATCAAAATTATATGTGGAATTTATAAAAAACGTGTGAGGTCTAAATCCATACAAGAGATTCTGATTGAGCGAGTATTTATTGCTGACCTATGTGCCAAGCACCTATCCAGTAAGCGTATTGATTTAGTACCTTCCATTGTTATACTATAAAAGAAACTAAGTTTGGGGAAAGTTTTCTTAGGCTTTCATAGACTTTTTACCAGTTTTCATGTGCACTAATAAAATAAGAGATAAGTTTGTATGTGTGTATGTTGTGTATATATTTATAACTTCCCCTCCTGTGGCCATAATTCTACATTAGAACAAGTGATAAGGTAATATAAAACTGAAACAGCTGGTAATGAGGTTGGCTTGTCTCTCCGGGTTCTCTGATTCAGGTTTATGGAGCAGTAATGAACATAAATCGTGGGAATCCCTTTCAAAAAGAAGTGATATTGGATTCATGGCCAGACTTCAAAGCTGTTATCACTCGGCGGCAGAAAGAGGTACAGCTTTGAAAGGCAAGAAAATAAGAGCTGGCATCAACTTGAAAGAAAAGATTGGTAAAGGGGATATTATAACCATCATAGCCATATACTTCAGCTTGATGAGCTACATATTTTACCATTAGCTTCTAATTTGACTGGCTTTGGAGTGTTAGACATATGGAAACCTCTTGTATAAATGCATTCAATAAAGTGTTTCTTTAGTGTTCCATAGTCACTAGAAGCATAAAGCATATATACTTGAACATACTAGTTTTCCCACTAGGTTGACCATTTCTTATAATCAATGATTTTGGTCATGTGGGTAAATGTGTAAGAAGATGGAAAAAGACAACATCTGCCCCATTCTGCCTCTGAGACCAAAAGGAGGCTCAAGTGATCAAAAATGTGCTGCCCTGACCACATTAGGAAAGTTCTGAGAGTTCTATTTGATTCTTGTATGTGGGTCCATTGAGTTACACTTTTTCATTTTTTATAAAGAATGTCTTACAAAAATGTGAAATAAATGTCTTCAAACCTCCCTAATACTAGAAGAAATAATCAAGCAAAAGCTCCAAATGTCTCTTCTTTCCTTCACGACAGTATATTGCCACATTCCCACTTAGCCATTGTTTATAGGTGGCTAATTTTGCTACCATTAGCTAATTATCTAGATGCACAGCTAATGGTATCTAATCTATCTCGGATTTGAATTATCTAGAAGATATATTTCTGGTTTTATGATTGTATCTTCTGTCCTAGGCTGAGACAGATAACCTGGACCATTATACTAATGCCTATGCTGTATTCTACAAGGATGTCAGGGCTTACCGAGGGCTGTTGGAAGAATGTGATGTTATCAACTGGAACCAAGTTTTTCAAATACAAGGTGAGGTCAAGTGCAAGATACAAGGCAATTGTTAAATCCTTTTTGTCATATATATCAGATAGATATGACGTATTTCGCATATGTGATGTGCATACACATAGATGCGCAAATATATATCAATACATTTTATATATTTACAATTTATACATTATGGTTTTGTAAGAACACTTATTTTTTTACTCTTAATGAGGATTGGCCTTTGGGATAGGCAGAGGCTATTTAAATGGGGCTGCTTTTAAGTGACTTTTTCCTACTGTTACTGTAATATGGCTATCAGTGAGTATCACAGAATATTTTTCCTTATTATTCTTAACACTTTGCTATTACAATCTTTTTAAATAACTCTAATTTAAGCTCAAGCCAGTAGGTGAGCTTTTCTTCTTTCTGGAGCAAATAATTCTGGAAAAAGATAATGAACTGATCTGCGTAGGATATTCTGAAATGATTTTATAAGAAAAGAGCTCCTAGGAGATAATTGCATGGTCATCAATGCTAGTGGGAGAACTGTAGGCCAAGATAGAAGCCCATTAAGAGTTTCTGATAGTTTGGATGGACAGTTTCAGCTTCAGTGTATCATTACTCTTTCAGTCTTTCATAATGATTAGAGGTTAATACAGGTAATGAAATTACTGTTTATAACTGTTTTAGTGAAGTGAGCCCCTTGATCATTTGACAAGAAGGCAGGGATTCCCATGTTAGAAATATAAAATCTGGTCATTTTTTTCAGCCACAAATAGCTGAAGTCCCCTCACAAGGAAAAGTTTCTCTCCATCTTCAGACAATAACTAATGCATATTCATAATCTAAAGACTCAGGATGTTATATAAAATTCATTCATAAATGCTCAAAGAGACCTTAGAGAGGAAATTCTAAACTATCTCTCACCTTTACAGATTTACCCATTATGCTGGTTAGAAGTGAGATGTGGTTCTACCGCTTGCTTAGCCAATTTAGAAAAGTTTTCTCTACAGTATTACTTTAATGTGGAAATGGGTATACCTCTTCCTTGATATGAAAAATCACAGCAGTAGTTGGATGGATATTGGTGCTATAGGCCTAATATCTTCAAATCACCTGAATTGGAAATTATGGGGAAAGACTATCCCCATAATTGCCAGTATTTTTTTCAGAAGGCTGAGCTGGTAGCCATGAGTCAGTTATAGTCATTTAAATTGACTCAATTATCCTTCCTGAAGGCTTGGTGGTAACTGATGTGAATTAGTAGCACCTAATATAGCTAGAGTAGTAAAGGCCCCTCATTTAGCATGTAAGTCAGTGCAGACATTAATTACTTGTGGCTTCTGAAGTGGTCTGACTACAGGCTCCTGTGGCAATAACTGTAATCTCCTTGGAATATTGAATTGAACAGCTTCTAAGAAGTCACCAGTATCTTTATTATTTTTAATCAGAGAATCTAAAAGGGGGCTGTTTCCATAACATTCCCAAGTCATAAACAAATCCAAAAGCCTACCTACTGCCATATAAATGTTCAGTCTTTTATCTTTTGCCACAGCACAGGCTCTAGTCAGGGCTGCTAGTGGGGGTGTCTGGATAGGCCAAGCACAAGATGGTGGAGCTACTTCAGCACTGGGTGTTCAGAGCAACAACACACCCTGCACAGTGATGCCTTTGCCATTTTTAATCTAAGAGCCACCTGTAAAGAATATGGAATCAGGGTTAGCCCACTAACCTACTCAGAGGAGGCAATCCTTATGTCTGCCATGTGAGGGCAAGAAATGAAAAGGTATGCAGCTACCGAGACAAGTCAGGCTCTTTCGCTCACTATTGGTTACACGGATGAGAGGAGAGTTTATCTATGTGAGTACTAACGTAAATGTTTTAGTAGCCTATCCATTGGTAACTGTGGTCCAATAAATGTCCTGAATCTGCTTTTCTCTTTGGCTAGTTCTCCCTTTCTAAGGAGGTAGGGTGGACAAAGGCAGAGCAATACGGGAAGTTTCCTTTCTTCTATGAGAAAGGAGAAAGTCATTTGTTACAAGTGGTAACCTATTCAATGGGTAGAAGAACATGGTCAATAACACTGTGGAGAGATAATCAGCAAAATCCAGACTCTAGAAACTTTATTTAGCAAACAACTGGGTTATTTAACAAATAAATTTTTAAAATTTTTAAAAGGGGAGGTGAGGATTAAAAGAAAACCTGCAGATAAAAGGCTTACAAGACAAAAAATGGGTAAAATCAAAGTATGGTGTTTAAGGATGCATAGTTGGATAATAAAGCTGTAAAAAAAAAAGGTAGTGATTATTATAAAAATGATGATAGTGTTTATTTTTAGAGGAGAGAAAGGGAATTGTGTTTGGGAGACTGGTAGATAGAAAGTGGCCAATAAATCTCTATTTTGTGTGGCTTTAGTGGTACATAATTAAAGCTACACATTTGATTATGCAGTTTTCTGTATCTGTTACATCTTATAATCTTAAAAATTTTTTAAAGAAATGTTAATCTGACTTTTAGAAAGAACTGGTTCAGTCTAACTTAGGAGAAAAAAATTCTATATTAATGATACGTAGCATAAAAATATTGTCACAAATTTCCTTTTTGTATATTCAAATGTAATATCCACATTTTTTCATTGTCTTACTATATACAGGGCTGCAGAGTGAATTATACACTGTGTCCAAAGCTGTTGCCGCCTCAAAGCAGTTGGATGTAAAGTTAAGCTCCTTCAAGGCCGTTTGTTTATCTCCTCTTTCAACCCTGCCAGACACCAGTTCCGTGTATGCAAATTAAATTTCTGCATTTGGGTCAGGACTTACTGCTGTAGAAGTACAAAGAACAGTACCTGGAGTACTTAATATCATTAAGGAATATTTAGGTGCCTTGAATTTGGGCCATTGAGTCTAAATTTATGTCTATATGTATGTGTTTGTGTGTCTGTGTGTATGTTTACTCTTTTCCTTTCTGCCATGCTTGACTGCTCACAATTTTTTACAAAATCAAATCAGTGTCTTTGTCCATAGTAGTAAATGAACTCAGAAGTCCTGTTTTTTTCACAGTATACGCAGAAAAATCATTCCTTGGCATCATCCTTCCCTAAATAATTCTAAACACCCTCTCCTCTGTTTGAGCCTAAGGTTGATTTTATTGGTTTTTTTTTTCTTGTTTATTTTTTCCTTGGTTTTTTTTGTTCGTTGTTTCAGAGATGAGGGTATCCAACTGCCAGGCACTAAATGTTTTAAATACATTTCCTCTTGAATCTTTTCCACAACCCTGTAAAGTAGTATTATCATTCTCTTTTTGAATGGAGTTGGAGTAACACACAGAAGTAAATTATAGAGCCGGAAAATAAATCCCAATATCTGATTCCAGAATCCAGTCCTTCAAAACATTAGTTGGTTTACACCTACATTCTCCTTTTCTTACTTTGGAGCCTGTACTTTGTCATTTACTGGCTACCTTCCCTTCTGCCTAATCTTTCTGAGCCTCGATCAATTTATTCTTCTCTAAAATTCATCAATGTCTTTCTTACATATTTTTTGTAAGCAAATGGAACATGATAGCCTGAAAAGTACCCACTCCAGTGAATGTTAGTTTTCTTCACTTCTATGGAATACATCAAAGGAATTATTGAGCAAAACAAGACTAAACCTAAAGAAGAATGGACTCTTTAAGTTATATAAAGAAACTGAACTTTGTTTTTATTTCTTTTCAGTTATGAAAATTTTCAAACACACACAAAGATTGAGAGACTGGTATAATGAACCTCCCATCGATATATGGGTTATCTTGTTTCATCTATATCTCTATCTCTTTCCATCCATATCTCTATCTCTTTCCATCCCTTGGGTTATTCTGAAGGAAATATACAAAACATTATTCCATTCTTAAACATTTTAATATATTTTTCTCCAAAAGATAAGGATTCTTTAAAAAAAAATACTAACATTACATCTGTGACAGAGGTCCCTGAGACCACTCAGAGGCTCAGTGATTGGCTAGTCGGATACAGAGGCCTTAACATACAATCACGACTATGATTTATTACAATAAAAGGATACAAATCAAAACCAAAACCAGCGAAGAGAAACCTACATTCACAAAATCCAGAGGAAACTGGGCACAAGCTTCCCAGAGTCCCCTGCCAGTGAAGTCACACAAGACATACTTAATTTCCCTAACAATGAGTTGTGACATGTGTTAGGATTTTTAATGGGGAGCACCCTCTGCATAGCACATACCAATATCTGAGACTTCCAGAATGAAAGCAGATGTTTAGTATAAACTACATTGGTTGTACAAACAGGAACAGTGAACTACTCATATCAGTTCTCAGAATGGCAGGAACCCTCCAGAAATTCAAATTGCCAGAAATTCAAATTGCCAGACACCAGCCAAGGGTCAACATGGCAAACAAACTTTTTGAAAGATAGTGGCCTCAAGCCTGCTATGTAAACTCTTCTGCACCACCCTTTATACTTCATTTCCTTAAAGTACAGTAATCAGTTAGTAGTCACATTTCCCAAATTATTATAATATTTTTGGCAGTTTATTTGTTTTGAATAAGGATCTAATGAAGTTTACACATTGTAGTTGATTAATACCTCTTAAGGTTCCTTTGACATACAGGTTCCCTTTTCATCCTTTATATTTCTACATTACTTTTTGTTAAAACAAACAAACAAACAAAAACAGGCTACTTGTCCTTTAGAGTTTTAGAGTTTCCCACAGTCTGTTTACTGTCACATTCCTGAAATGTTATTTAAAATTTTCCTCTATCCCCAGCCAGGCCTTTTAATATCAGTTTTTGACTTAAATTGCTCCCTTTTTCATAGAAGTTAAACAATTTGTCTTTAACAAAGTCATTTTCCAGTTTTGCACACTATTTTGGATACCCAGCTCTTCAGATACAAGGTTATAGTCTCTAGTATAACTACTCCTGAAATGCTTGCCTTAGCAATGTTTTTATTTGGATACATTTGTGCCTGCTTCTTTGCCTTTGTATTGAAGTTCATTTTCAAGAATTAAAAATTCTATCAGCCAGTTATTGATTTTATTTGTTTATATTTTACCCCTGCTTAGTGGTTAGGTGATTGTCCCAGTGCCAGAGCCAACGATATGCCTGGAATGTGAGCTAGTCCTGCAGAACCACTAATGAAAACACAAACTTGGGTTTTGTAAAGAAGATCATAGCTAGAATGACATTAACGATCCCTGGGGATGGTCTTACCACATCAACAACTTCAAGAACAAAAGCAAATTCTGAAGCACGACCAGCCCCAAAGGCTTTCAACTAAGTAATCCATCTCAGTTCTTACAAATTGCACCAGCCCCTATCTTTATCTTAATGCCATGGTCTTTTAGACCTTTTTCCCAACCTTTTAGGGGAAGGTGTAGAAGAACTAGCATTTTTCGAACATCTACGTATGCCTAGAATGTTACATAATTTGTATTTATGTTCTGGCCACGAATGCATAAAGATAGATGTTCTATTCTAAAACTGTTTTTTTGTTTGTTTGTTTGTTTGTTTTAACCAAGGAAAAAGGGACCCCAAAATATGGACTTTTTCAAGGGCTCAGAGGGTGTCAACAGACTTAGGACTTAATATGAAGTCTAAGAATTGCTTTACTTGCCTTAATCTATACTGAGGACAATGACAAATGGTCATAAAATTAGAAGGAAAGACTTAAATTAGAAATAATGAGTATTTTTGTCCTATCAGAAATGAAACCCTGAAAGATGTTTGTAAGTGGGAAGAGATGCATTCTAATTTATTGCAAATGTCTTGGTATTTGTTAGGCACTATCTCTGAAATAGTTTTTCAGTTTGAATCAGTGTAAAAGAGTAGTTTGTAGGCACGTGATCCTGAGTTCTTGTTTCTTCTCATATCTTTTTCTTCTAGAATGAGTTCTTCCCCACGACTAACCTACCTGAGTGTCACTGATGCTGACCTGCTCAACCGAACTTGGTCGCGGGGCGGCAATGAACAATGTCTCCGGTACATCACCAATCTCATCTCCTGCTTCCCCAGTATCTGTGTCCGCGATGACAAGGGAAACCCAGTCTCTTGGTCTATCACAGACCAGTTTGCCACCATGTGCCACAGCTACACCCTACCAGAGCATCGCAGAAAAGGTTATAGCCGGCTGGTGCTCCTCACACTGGCCAGGAAGTTGCAAAGTCGGGGATTCCCCAGACAGGGCAATGTCCTTGACGACAACGTGGCATCAGTAAACCTCCTGAAGAGTGTGCATGCCGAGTTCTTGCCTTGTCGTTTTCATAGGCTTATTCTCACCCCTGCAGCTTTCTCTAGAGTAGTTCCCCTCTAGCTCAGTGAAACTTCAGGAATTTTCTGTTTTTCCCTGAACATACACATACTTCTTAGCTGCCAGTGAGAAAAAAAATTCAAACAGATAAGGAGAATCTTGAGTTATTGAAAAGTGCCTGGAAGAACACATGCAAGATCAGCCTGAGAAGCCTTAATTCTCCGTGTCTTAGGTTTCTGCAGTAAATAACTGTAAGAGTCAGGGATCGCTGCAGCTGAGAAAGAGGGTAAGTATCCTCTTTTGAGATCTACTGCAGGAAAAAGATTCTAAAACCTTAGTAGCAGAAATGACTCCGCGAGAACAAATGATTGAACACAGGAGCCTGTGGCTACTGCTTTATTATTGCTTCATGGGCTTCTGCTGTGTATTCTCACAACCACACCAGTTCCCCACTATCATAAATAACATTTCCCACTGTGCCCACACTGCCATGTCTCCCTGAACTCAATTTCTACCACCTCTGATCCAGTTCTCTGTAGACTATCCTGCCTTCCACCCTCTCCCGCCTTTAGTTACTGGCTCTTCACTTCTGCCTATGACTTCAGCCTATGTTTTTCCCTGCGAATGTTCAAATGCAGTTGTTCTCACATTTTGGTGCACTTCGGAATCACCTGAAGGGCAGATTGCAACACCGATGGCTGAGCCTCTCCCCCACAGACCTCCTGTTCAGTGAGTCTGAGGGAGGGCCTGAGAATTTGCATTTCTAACAAATTCCCACTACTCAGTTGCCTTGGATGGAGGGATGAAGATACTGCTGTTTTAAACACTAGCAACAGATGATGTCAGCTTAGAATCTTACCTATCACCTATTCCAGGTTCTTTGATTATAATTTGCTTTCTCATAAGAAACTAATATACATGTGATATGCAGATGCACATATACATATATACACACACATACATATACTTTCCTTTCATATAGTCTATATGTATGTAAACTCATAGAATTTTGATAAGATATTAAACTTTAATTCTCTTATTACATATGAAGAATTTGACCAAAGAAAATAAATGACTTCAAGATTACACAGATAATCAGTGCTAGAGGCTAAGCCAGGATGTCATTTTGATTTCAATCTATTTTTTCACTAAATCATATATCCTTTTTGTTAATGAAATTAAAAAATGTTTAAATAATTAAATCAATACATCCATTAGTCTTTTATTCTTGTCAGTACTTTTTTTTTTTTAATTTGGCTTCCGAATGTTGTGTGTGTGCGTGTATCTTTCAAGGACAATAAAGGAAAAGATAAACATCTACAAGCTGTGTTCTTCCATTGGCAATAAAAGCAGGCATAAACACAATGGTTGGATTTGTCTAGTCTGGATAAAGTTGACTTGGATATATAGAAAATATTAATGTATTATACTATAGAGTTTCACAAAACCCCACCCACAAAGATAAAGGGAAATCCAAAGTTTAGGTGTTTATTCTGAGAAAAGTAAACTAATTAGCTGAAGGAGGGCATCATTTTCATGAAAAAAAAACAAGACTCCTTGGGAGTGAATACGCTTAGGTCATCCCGAGCCACAGGTTACCTGGAAACTTCTCTGTGGTGCGAGAGGGATGAGCACCAAGTACCCAGAGTCCACAAAGCCCTTTGGGAGAATATGGTCTAGTTTCTGCCCCAGGGATGCTCATTATCGTTTGCTTTAATTAAGCATGGTTTACTCCTGCCTGGTATATGGTAGTAATATAATACCTTATTTTCTTTCTAATAATAATATGCCTGCTGTTTGTTTAAAATTTAACTGTGTGCTAATAGTGTCAAATAGTAGAGATATATTACTTAATCCTTGTGAAGGAGAAGGTATTGTCTTATTGTGGGAATTCTGGCTCAGAGGTATTATGACTCACCAAAAGTTATACAGGTTTTAAGTGGCTGAGTCATGATTGAAAACTGGATTTGTCAGATTCTGAAGCCTGTACTATCAGTCATTATGCTAAGTGGTCCCTTAAGCAGCTTGGAAATCTTTGGGGGCAATTATTCCTTTGTTTTCTGTATTTTTCAGCTCCACCCCCACCCCAACAATGGACTCTGTATTTTGGGAGAGATTTTTGCCCAGCACCAGATCAGGAACAATTGGGAGCAGAAGAAATTGTTTGTTCAGTTTGGGAATGTCAAGTTTTTCAAACATAGAAGTAAGGAGATCGATTTGGATATTTCAGTCTCAAAAACGGGTCACATACAGATAGTAACAGAAGCTATATGTTTGGCTGAGATTAACTACCACTAGACCTTGAGTACATCAAAGATTTAAAGTTGAGTGAGGGGAAGATTCTGGAATAGGAGTAGGAGGCACCAGAAGATAGGAGGAAAGGCAGATAACTGTCACAGAAGAGAAAGGAGAAAAGAAGATTGGGGATGGTAGGTGGTGTCAAATTACACTGAGGCCAAGAATACATAAGGAATGAACATTTTCCATTGCACTATCAAATATTTTATAGACATGTACCAAAAAGAAGCCAGAAACAAGAATACACACTGTATGATTTCATTTATATAAAGTTCAAAACCAGGCAAAGCTAATCTATATCCTTAGAAGTCAGGAAGTAGTTACCCTTCCGAAGGACAGTAACTAGAAGAGAACATGAAAAGTGGCTTCTAATTTCTGGTAATATCCTGATCCTTGACCTGGGTGGGTTATACAGGTGTGTTCACTTTGTGAAAGCTCATCTAGCTATACCATTATGATTTAAGCACTTTTCCGGATGTATGTTACACTGCAATGCGAAACGGAATCCATTAACAGAAAACAGGCCTGGAATCTGGGGTGGGAGGGAGATATATTCTTTTAACTCAACAATTTTACTTCTCAAAATTTATCCTACTGGTATAATAGCAAGCATGCAAAGATTTATATAAAAGCATGTTCATTACAGTGTCGTTTGTAAAGATTAAAAAAATGAACTAAATATTTTAAACCACTCGCTGATTAAATATAGAACAGCCATTCAATGGAATTCTAGGTGATGCAGAACAGGACAAATTTCCCTGAGTTGGGGGAGACCAAGCCCTGCACTGAGTGAAGAAAAGGATTCTTGGTAGAGAGGGTAGAAAGAATTCAACACACATGCCAAAGTTTATTAGAGAAGGGATAACACTATAGACAGAGCATAGTCTCCTCTCAGAGGCAGATTATGAGAGAGACAATAGAGAGAGATGAGGACAGTTGAGAGAAAGAGTAGAGGCACTAAGAGGGACAGAGTAAAAACATTTGAAAGGGACTCTGAGTGTTCAGGGAGTTCAGTTTATATATCATTCTTTAGTTCCCATGAGTTACAGTTTAAATATGTTGTTTATCTATTTCCTTTGATATAGATATATAGTGAGGAAGGGGATGGGGAAGAGTATGTAGCGTGAAAAGGTAAGAATATGTAGCGTGAAAGGCCTGCTGGCAGTTCTGAGCCTTTTAGTCCATAGGTTCTCTATGGATTTAGCCATAGAGAATGGAAAGATTTTATTTTGTGTAAGGCTCACTTAAATACTGTTTTTCCTGTTTCCCCTTCACAGGTGTGGGAAACGGGTTGTTAGCAATCCCAGCAGAAATCTCCCTTTGTTCTGCAGGTGTCCTTCTGGCCTGGCTGCAGAGCTGATCAGCATATTGCAGTCTGTGAATGTAGCCTGATTTAATGCTTTAGTTCTCTTGCCTCCTCCCTACATTATAGGGACACTAGGTAACTGTGATAGCTGATACAGAAAATATGTATATGATAACACTAAATGAAAAGCAATATAAAGCAATTACAGAAAAGTTATATATCATCTATTTAAAATTCAGTTGTGAAGGTAAGGGTAGAATAAACAGAGAGGTAAATAACTCTGAAAAGCTAATGGCTTTTACTGGGAAGACAGGAGCCTTTGGTAAGAGATAGCAAGTATTTTGGGGTGTGGTCATGGCTGGATATGTTGATGAAAAGAGTCAATACAGGTAACATGCTCAGCTCTGGGTGGATGTTGATAGGTTTTCAAGCCTCTGTGGATTTTAGTAAGAATGAGTATTCACTCTGCTTTAGACCCACTAAAAGGAAACATAGAAGAACGATTGAGAATTCAATCGTTCAATTGTTTCCTCTGCTCAAACTTTGTGAACAATAAAGGCAGAGCAATTTGAGAGAACATTTACATATCTTTTAAAGCAAAATCTCTTCTAATATTACAAGTTTTGAGTCTCTTCATTTTGCAAAACTAATCGCAAATTTGTGTTTGATGATTTGAATTTTGAGAAAGAACATGAAATAACTATGAATTAAATTTTCTTAAATTGTCCATGACAATACCTAAAGTTTTGTATCCATTTTCTCTCATCTCAATAAATACTAGGTGCAGGAAAAAATAAAACTGAAAGTAAAACACAGAAGATGGAATAGCATAGCACCAACTACGAAGATGATCTCTCCTTCCAGACTGGGATGTTGCATTAAAATTATTTCAATGGAGATAATGAAAGTAGCAGAAGTATAAAATAGAAATGGAAGGGTTTTTCTATATCAGTATAGCTAGAATTAACAGCGTAGTTCCTTTTTCCAAAATTTCTAAAAGCCCAACTCAATCTCTTATAGAAATCTTAGCTCCAGCTATAAAAACCAATTGATATGGCCCTTTGCTTTTTCTGATCTTGACACTTACTATACCTGAACCAAGATAGAAGAGCGAAGATAGCTACTCCCAGCTTCTCTTCTTTTCTTTATCCTCTCCTATCTCAGCAGTGCTGGTGTCATGTATGTTCCCAGCCATGTTCTAGTTTTGTTCACTTGTTGAGAGAATTTATTTGTTCTTGAGTAAACTTTTTTCACTTCCCCTTATTTTCACCCTTATGATTTAAATAATTATGAATAAGAAGAGCTAACACCTGGGTATTCCTTTTACTAATTTATGTGCAGCTTTTTCTTTAGCTAACAGATCTATGTTTTTCCAAGACAATATATGCTCTAGGTTTTAAACACTGTTAAAAGGGATCACTTATAATGTAATAAGACTCTAAGACATTTAGTTAGTACCATGAAGTTACTGCAGTGAACACTAGATGTCAGATTTTAGTTCTAGATTATTTCCCAAACAGAGACCTCTTGAATTGTTTCTTGTTTCATTAGAATTTTTGCTACATTTTGCACTATTTCCTTTCAGCAGATTCCTGGGCTAGACAAGTTTATTCCAGGGTTTAAAAGGAAAAAAAAAATACATGAGACTATCAATACGAATTATGAAAAAACAGAGTAAAAGGAGAGATTAACCCCACCAACATTAAAACATATTATAAGAATTATATAATTTATATGATGGCTAGGTGGATGGCCAAGGGAGGGAGGGAGCAATTTGGGGGATCATTTTATGAACTATATAGATGTCTAACCAATGTACTGTATACTTGAAACTAATTTAAATAAATAAATTTTAAAAAAGAATTATATAATTTAAAGCATAGTAATGGTACATGTTTACAAAGAACAATGAGATAGGAGAAAAAAGTCCAGAAATAATGGGTACCTAGGAAAGTTTCAAATAAATGGCAATGAGACAACTGGATAACAATATGAAAAAAGAAAAATAAAATTGGATGCACACCTCACACCCAATACCAGAATAAACTCCAAACAGGTCCAAGATATTCATACATACGTACTTTTAAAAAGCAAGAAAAGGAAGTCATACAAATACTAGAAGAAAACATAGTCTAGTTCCTCTAAAACCTGGATATGAGAAATACTTTTCCAAATTCAGAAAGTCCAAATTTAGAAGTAATAAAAGAAAAAAAATTAAATTTAACAAATTAAATATATAAATGTATACGTGCATGTATGTAATTGTATTCAATGGCAGACAAAAAAATGGGCAAACGACGTGATTAGTTCACAGAAAAAACAAAATGACACAAACATATGAAAAGATGCTTAACTTCATTCAAAAGAAAAATGTCATTAAACTATTATGTGATACCGATTCTCACCTATCAGATTAGCAAACAAAAAGTATTCAAAATACAAAGTTAATGAAGCTGTAGAGAACAGGCATACTCATACATTGATACTGGGAGTCGAATATGTTACAACTCCAGGGAGGAGAATATCTAATAAAATACATACGCATTTATTTAAGCAATTATATTTTTAGGAATTTATCCTGAATATTCCTCCATAAATATAAAACAAATGTTT